TTGTAGCACAATGATAAACATTTGTGTATCAAAGCATGTAAACATAGAAAAGGTACAGTAAAAATCTCAAATAAAAGATTAAAAAAAAAAAAAAGATAATGTACCTGCATAGGGCACTTCCCAGGAATGGAGCTTACAGGACTGGAAGTTGCTTCGAGTGTGTCAGTGAGTGGGGTGGTAAGTGAATGTGAAGGCCCACAATGCTACTGCACACTCTTATACAACCAGCAATGAGGTGCATTTGTTTACATCAGCATCACCACAGACATGAGTAACGCATTGCTCTATGACTTTATAATGGCTATGATATCACTAGGCAATAGGAATTGTTTAGCTCCATTGTAATCTAATGGGATCACCGTCATATATGTGTGTGGTCCATTTGTTGAGCAAAATGTCATTATGTGGTGCATGACTGTATATCAGTAGGGAGATATTTTCTTTTTCTTATATTGTTTCACTGTGTGTGTGTGTGTGTGTGTGTGTGTGTGTGTGTGTGGTAAGTAAGCAATGTATTTGGTAGAGACCTTTTCATATAGGAACATGAGGAGTTTCCTCATTTTGTGAAGTAGCTGCATGCTATTTCATTGTGTAGGTGTACACTAGCCTATTTAACCAACCTTCTGTTTATACACATTTAGGTAGTATCCAGTATTTTGCTATGACAGACAGTGCTGCAGTGGATAGCTACACTGGATAATATTTTGTATCCATCCAAGTATATCTGTAGTGTAAAGTTCTAGAAATGAAGTTACTAGGACAAGGGGAAAATATCAATTTAAATGTGTTTGATTCTGTGAGAGAAATTAAGCAGTTTTTTTAATACTGGAAATTTAACTCATTTAAATCCAAAGATTATTTGACTATTTTTTAGAGGATTAGTGGATTACTATATTTGGTATATTAAAAAGGAAAGAGGCCATTGCTTAGGAAGCTATGTACTGGACCAAGACAAAAACAAATGAACAAACAAAAATCAAAACAGACATTATTACTGCAACCAGATTTCTGGGCTGACAGAGTTTGGTGTCTGTGGTTTGAAAACATCACATTTTAATCCCCTATGCTATCTAAAACCTTAATCACACATTTGCTTATTCTTTCTGAGCTGGGAGATGGTATTGGTACATTAAGCTGTTTCATACCAAATGTAATCTGGGGATTAGTGAAAGTCAAATCTCCCATGCATTCATCTGAACATCTGATTGGGTTTTCTCTATTGGTTCGTCTTACTTTGCTATAGTTAACGAAAGGGTCACATCCATCTAGGGGCATGTCAGTTTCCTTCCCTCCTTCAGGGAAGATGAGAGGAGTGGTAGCATGAGTTTTGGAATATGAAGCTCCAAGTTAGGGGCAGGCATAAGTACTTGAGACAGCTGTCTCAAGATTTCATAGATCATTTTGTACATTTCCTCATTTTTGGCGTTATATTTTATTGGATTTCGTGAAAACATTGAGCTACTTATAATCCTCAATTTAGCAGAAAATATAAAATTGTTGTTTGAACAGCACCAATTAGAAAAAGTGAAAGTTTTGACCAATTTTGAAGTTTACAGTTGGAGAGTACAAGGGCCTGAGAAAAGTACAGCAGTCATGATTTAAAGTAGGTCTGTTCGACTCCAGTGATGGGCTCCTTTTCATTGTTGTGCAGTGCTTCGGGTCTAGGAAATGCAAGCCTACATGCTTTTAATGTGGCATCAGACTTAAACATTTTTTTCAAGAAATCTGAAACAGTAAAATATTATATTCCAACAGAATTCAAAGCTTAAGATAAAAACAATGTATTTTAGCAACCTAAGATTTGTGAAGTGGACTGTTGGACATCTAGAGAGGAAATTAAATATAATATAGATTTTCTTTTATTTTCTTCTTTAAAATCATAGATATATCTCAAACTTTAGTATAGTATATGATAAAATACATAATTTTTCCTAATTTTTTAAAATCTTACCTATATGACTTCATATATTACTTCAGAATGTTAAATGTTACTATTACAAAGAAGAGCATTTGAAATTCTGATTTTTATGGAATTAAATATTGTACATCTGGTGTGAGTTTTCAAAAAATTATAAAAATGGTTATTTGAAAAGAAAATAGGCAATTAAATCTATTTTGACATACTAACACACACCCCTAAAATTTTTTTTTTTAAAGAAAGTTTCATTGTACCTCATTTTGTTGAATCTTCTAATTGTGCCGAAGGTATTTCCAGTTATAGCAGAAATTGATAAATGAAAGATGGGATTTATTTTCTTCTACTAATTAAAGCTGAAGTCATGAATTATACTTGATGGAGCAGCTGACATATGACTTATTGCTCTTTACTGAAGAAAACAAAACTAATTTAAGCTCATTTATAGAATTAATGCTACACTTTTCAAACTTTGTGTATATGTTTCTTTATTCATGGAAAATTTCGGAAGAATATGTACAAATCATTGATTGTAATTACCTCTGGAGTATGGGAGATAGAAACTTTTTTAAAAAATATTATATCCTGTTTTACTGTTTTAAATTTTTACCTTGTACATATATTATTTTTATAGAAAAAAATCCATATAAATCAAAGATATTTTTCTATTTCAATGTATATGATTCCCAATACAGATTCCATTTAGAATTTGTTTTCCAGGATCAAAACATAGTGTAGAACAAGAAGACAGACAAAATGACTAATTCGTTTATTTGGTGACATAATCTTCATCTCTTCTCAGAAACTTTGATTAGAAGCTGCAGATATAATTTGCTATTCCCTTCTGTTGGCTGTCTGTCCTCATGTTCAGTCCCTTCCTGCTTCTCTCCATGCCCCACATCACCATCACTGTCAATCCCTATCGTGTAGTGCTTCTGTTAGCAGGAGTTAGATCTGGCCCACCCACCCTCTCCCCTGATCAAGGGCTCAGTCTCACAAGACAGCCCCCACTTCAGATGCCAGCCGCAAATGGAGTACCCAGGCTACCCACATTTCTGCCTGGCTGACTACAAATTAGGGAGTTCCACGATCTCCTCTCAGGTTTCATAATTTGTTATGATAACTCATGGAACTCAGTGAAATACCTTGCTTACTAAAGTTTATTAAGGAGAGAGAGAGACTTTCTCGGCATTCATAAATCACATGAGATCTTAAGGTTTTAGAACCAAATCTGAATACCCTATTTTGGTCTTTTCATTTTAAACATGGAGAACCTGAATCCTAACCTAACGAATGTACTCTTTTAGAATTATAAAGACTGTTATAAGCAGATCTGGGACTACGATCTTGAAATCTTTATCTCCCATTCAGTGTCCTTTAAAGTATAATTCTTTGCTGTTCATTCAAAATCTTTGTTTAATAGACAATAATTTAGTAAGAAACGGGAAGCAACATAGTGTGATGGAGCAAAATTTCCTCTGGTTATGGTTATGAGAAACACTAGCTTCTTTGGTGGTCCTGAATCCCCAGGCCTGAAGCCTCCAGCTTTAAACACATCCTTCATTTATCTCAAGATGCCATAAAAATCTTACTTATTTTTTGTCTGATATGACTTCAAAAAAAAAACAGTAGGAGAAACGGGTACACTCTAGAGTCAGAAAAACCTGGGGGTAAATCCTACCTTTGCTTTTTATTAGTAAAGTCACCTTCCAGCACTTACTCATTGTCATCCGTTTTGAGGATTGAATTATGTCATGAATATGAGGCACCTAGTCCAGAGATGGCACATATTAAGTTCTTAAATATTCCTAGCTCAACAAGAAAAATGGATAAATATGTGTGTCCCTTTGTACAACTGATACCATCTTTGGTACCTTCTTCATACTGTTTCCCTTCTTTGAACCTAGATGTCTAGTGGTTTGACTTTGGAGGTAACAGTTCATGTACTCATTCATGCAGCAGTCATGCAAGCACTTAATTGTGTACCTCTTAGACAGCCAAGGGCTCAACCCTTGGCCTGTTAGGAATGGGGCGGCACAGCAGGAGATGAGTGGTGGGTGAGCGAGCGAAGCTTCATCAGTATTTACAGCCGCTCCTCATCACTCACCACCCCCGCATCCTCCCTACTCCTGGTCTGTGGAAAAGTCGTCTCCATGAAACTGGTCCCTGGTGCCAAAAGGGTTGGGGACTGCTGCGATAGGCCATAAAGTAAATGAAACTGTATGATAATATTTTCTAGGATCTGGAACTTGTACATAGTAGGTACTTTGTTGTAAATGTTTATTGAATGAAGAAATAGATTTTATCTAAGAGGAATTTATGTTCTAGTGGAGTTACCACATTTCTTTTTCCACCTAAGGGTAGTAGTAGAGTTGTACATACAGTGCTTTGTGAGTATCAGAGTGGGAGTGATTGATTCTTCCATTCTTGCTGCTCCATTGAGGAAGGGGCAATTGCACAGAAAAAGTGAGATTTAATGTGGTTTTCTTGAAAGGAGATGAAGATGAAATAACATTATAACAACATCACAAGTAGAGCAAAGAGCATTAGGAAAGACATTAGTGTGTAGTTGATACGTGTCATGTGGTACGATTTGGTTGGAGGATGTAGGCTGATGGATGGTTGTCTAAGAGCTTTTAATGTCATCTTAGAGTCAATTTTTGATTGTAGGAGCCTTGGAAAGACAGGAAAGATTGATAAATAGGAATGTGTCGGTGCTTTGTAACAGTAAGCTGTGAGTGCTTTATGACTTTTGTTATTTGATCGGCCTTTATCTAGGATTCTAGAAGACCCAAAGTAATTTATTTTTACTTTTTTTTGTGTGTTATCTAGTCCATTTTTCATTTCCATTAGCATGGGCAATTGAGATTTGACTTTGTAGAGCCACGGTATATGCATTTTTTTGATTTATGAAGAATCATTAATAAAACAGGAGAATGTGTCATTACTTGAAAAAAATTACAGCATAATTTAATAATCCATATTTCTGTAGTTTTTTATTTCATACCACAACAGAGTCAACCAGAACTCACAACCTCAGGAGTTCTGAGTCATATACTTCATGATTATTTTTTTGCCTCCACAGAAATAGAAAAGTTTCAAAAAGGAGAAGGCAAGGATGAAGAAAAGTACATCGATGTGGTGATTAATAAGAACATGAAGCTGGGACAGAAAGTGTTAATTCCTGTAAAGCAGTTTCCTAAGGTAAGACAGTGAGGTCCACACTGCAGGTATTTTAACCTTAATCGCAGAGGAACAGATGTTTCATTTATGTTCTGTTTGATATTTTCTAGAGATGTTTTCTCTTAGCATCCCCCCCACATGTTTAAAGTTAATTTAAAACTTATTTAGTGTATTTAGTGATTCTGTCTTTTCTGTTTGACTTTACTGTGAGTTATGGATCTCTAAAAAATATACTTATGAGTCTTACTAGTGATAGAACCTTGGGCAATCTATTTAACTTCTTTGCCCTTAATTTTTCTCATTTGTATTATGAGGTTGGATGGTTAAGAATTAAATAAGATTGTGCGTGTTAAATGATTAGTGTAGTGCATGTCACACAAAAGTTCAAAAATATCATCTGTTCTAATTTTATTTAACACATTGACTGCCACACTAGAAAAAAAATTTTTTTCCATGGGGCCATAGTGTTTTATTATGAAAATAGTATAAAATTGAAAACAAAATGATCCTTTCTAATTTAGTGAAAAATTTGTTATTTTTCATTATTTTCTGTGAATGAGTTATATGCAGCTTAAAAAATAGTACATGTGGTTCCCAAGATAAAGAGATGTGTGAGTTACATATGCTTCACGGGACCCCAGGCTCAACACTAGCATGAGTTAAATACAACTCACAGGGCAGTTAATGTGTTAAACCTTACCCTGTTTTTGATTTGTCTTTTGAGTGTCCATGTACACAATTCAAAATGCTGCTGTATGTATCAGTAATTCATTTCTTTTTGTGGATGAATAATAGTTACCTGAATATACCACAGTTTATCCATTTACTTAGCAGTTTTAAGTTTTTGGTTATTGTAAATTAAATTTACAGTGGACACTGTTGTACAAGTCATTTTGTGACCATATATTTTCATTTCTCTTTGGTAAATTGCTGTGTATTTAATTTTAGAAGAATTGCCATCCTTTTTTTTTTCCAAATTAGTTATACCTTGTAACATTTCCATAAACAATGTGTACAAGTTGTAGTTGCTCCATATCTTCATCAATATTTGGTGCTGTCATTTTTTTCTTTTATCCATTTTGATTGTATATTGATATCTTCATGTGTGAATTTGCATTTCCCTGATGATTAATGATTTTATGCAGTTTTTATGTACTTATTGCCTATTCCTATGTCATCTGTTTTGAAGTGTCTGTTCAGATCTTTTTCCTATTTGTAAATGGGCTGTATGTATTTTTTATTATTGAGTTGTAGGAGCTTTTTATACATCTTGGATGCACATCTTTTGTTAGATACATGTTTTGTGAATATTTGGCCCAGTCTATGGCTTGACTGTTATTTCCTCGATAGAGTCTTGTGTTAAGCAGAAGTTTTTAATTTTGATGGCATTTAATGTATAGGGTTTTTCTTTTATGGTCATTGCCTTCTATGAACTAAGAAATCTTTGCTAACCTCAAGGAAATATTAGAGAATTTTGTAAGTTATAAAGATATTCCCCTGTGCTTTCTCTAAAAGTGTTATCATTTTAGCTTTTACTTTTAGGTCTATGATATATCCCAAATGAATTTTTGTATACAGTGTTTTAGAGGCTCAAGTTTATTCTTTTCTCCATATAAATATTGAGTTTTTCTGGCACTATTCGTTGAAAGATGTTTACCCATTCATTGATTGTCTTGGTGCCTTTGATGAAAGTAAGGTGACCATGTACGTGGTGGGGGATATTTCTAAGCTTTCTGTTCTTTTAATTTAATCTATCTATGGATTTGGTCCCTTTTGCCAATGCCCCACTGTCTTGATTAATGTAGGTTTTATAGTAAGACATGAAGTTAGGTAATGTAGTCCCGCCAACTTTGTCCTTCTTTTTTCAGGATTGCTTAGATATTTTTGTCCTTTGCAATTATATATAAATTCACAAATTTAATTACCACAAAATGACCTGCTGAGATTATGATTGCAATTGCATTGAATCTGTTGGACAATTTGTGGAAATTTGACATCTTAACAATATTAAGTCTTCCATTTCTTGAATATGGTATATCTCTCCATTTATTTAAATCTTCTTTAATTTCTATCAGCAATGTTTTGTACTTTTCAGGGTAAGGGTCTTTGTATGTCCTTTGTTAAACTTATTCCTAAATAGTTTGTGTTTTTTCACACTATTGTAAGTTGAATATTTTTAATTTTTCTAATTTTTTGCTTCTAATCTAAAATTTTATATATTAACCTTGACTTCTACCTTGCTAAATTTAAATTCACTTATTCGTTCTAGTAACTTAGTTCGTCCATTCCTTAGGATTTGTTACATACATAATCATATCACCTGCATAAACAGTTTTACTTCTTCCTTTCTAATTTTTGTGCATCTTATTTTGCTTGCATTATTGTATTGGCTAATATCTCCAGTATAATGCTGGAAACAGTGATGAGAGTATCAAAACCTTCCCTTGTTCCCAAAGAGGGAAAGCATGCAGTATTTTACCATTAAGAGCAATATCCGTTATAAGTTTTTTGTAGATGTCATTTATTAGGTATAGGAAGTTCCCTTCCACGTCAACTTTGCTGAGAGTTCTGATCCCAAATGAATGATAAATTCTGTTTTTTCTGCATCTGTTGAAATAAACACAGGATATTTCTTTTATACTGCTTTTGTAGTGAATTTTAATGACCAGTTGTTAAAAATTAAACCTTCTTTGTATTCCTGAGTTAAACTCTACTTACCAAAGACATATTATCCTTTTTATATATTGCCAGCTTCACCTGCATCTATGTTAATGAGTGATACTGACTTATAAATTTTGGGAGGTAATATTTTTATAAGATTTTAGTATTGATGTTATTCTGGTTTCATAAAATGAGTGGGACAGTGTTTCTTTCCTTTTTCTCAAAAAATGTATATTGGATTGGTATTATTTCTTCCTAAATATTTGATACAGTTCACCAGTGAAGCCATCTAGGCCTTGAATTTGATGATGAATTCCATATCTTTATTGATATGGCACTAGTCAGATTTTTTATTGTTATCTTTTATGAAAAATGTGTTGTGTTTTTTTAACAGATTTGTTCATTTCATCATAATATTTCAGCTATTGCTTCTTCAAATACTTTTCTGACCTTTTCCTTGCTCCATCTTTTGAGATTTCAATTACATATATGTTCAGCCTTTTGTTAATCTCACAAAGGTTCCTGTGGCTCTGTTTACTTTTTTCCCACCCCCATCCTTCAGATTGGATAATTTTTATTGCTCAATCTTAAATTCATTGATTCCTTACTATGTCATCTTCATTTTGCTATTAACCGCATCAGGTAAACTTTTTATTTCAGGTATTATAATTATCTGTTTCAGAATTTATATTTGATTCATACAGAGATAATGTGTATGTGAAAACATGTTCTTTTCTCTTTGGGGATTTTCTTTTTTTTTAAAATTCATTGCAAATACTATTTTCTCTTACATCAGTGAGTATAGTTAAAATAGGTGCTTGAAAGTCTCTATCTTCTAGTTCCATAGTTTTGGTCAACTTAGATTCATTCTGCACTGATATTTTTTTATCGTGTTAAAGAGTCATATTGCTCCAGTTCTTTGCATGTTGAGTAATTTTGGCTTGTATGCTGGACATTGTGAATGTACATTATGGATTCTGTGATATTCCTCTGAAGAATGTTGGTATTTTTGTTTTAGCAGTTGATTAACTTGGTTGGATTCAGACTGCAAACTTTGTCTATTGGATAGGCATTGAAGTCTCAGTCATTTCTTTCCTTAGTTTGGCTTTTGTGCTTAATTTTTGGCATACATGATTCAGGGGTCAGCCAGAGATTTTGGCAGATTTTGTATGCAAGATCATAATCCCCAATTCTGACTCTGTCTTTTCTAGTATTCCTCCCTCACATTTCAGCACTATGGTTGCCTCAAACTCTGCCACTCAGGCTAAAAGCTCTAAAATTACTGAATGCATCCCAGGCTGTTACTTTCTTTTAAGTCTTAAATCTCTTTCAGAATCTGCCTGTTTTTGATCATTCTTCAGGGCTTCAGATAGTTGACTTTTATATTTTGTTCAGCGTTTAGGAGTTTATAGTTGATACCTATAGATGGTCAGCCTATACCCAAAGAACTGGGCATATATATTTTTTGTAAACAGAAAATTACGTTATGGACATTTCATAGACAGATTCATTACTAAACAAAACATGGCTGATAGAAACCTTTATAGATTGATTCTTCATGCTCAACATGTTCTATATACTTCATACGCAGTAGAAAGATGAACAGATATGATCCCCATCTCTAAGTAGTTCAGTCTAATAGATGATTATTAACTTAATACTTTGTTGTCTATGAATTAGTATATGAAATAAAATAAAGTACAATCATGTACTGCATAATGCATGATGATCTTTGGTCAATGATGGATAACATATATAAGAGTGGTCCCATTAGTTCATAATACTATATTTTTACAGCATCTTTTCTATGTTTAGGTATACAAATACTTACCATTTCATTACAGTTGCCTGCAGTATTCAGTACAGTAACATGATGTACAGGTCTGTAGCCTAAGAACAATAGGCTACACTGTATATCCTTGGTGTGTAGTAGGCTATACCATATAGGTTTGTGTAAATCCACTCTGTGATATTTGCACAACGAGGAATTGCCTAATGATGCATTTCTCAGAACATATCCACGTCATTTTTGACGTGTGACTATATTTGAAAAAAGTGTATGAAATAAAATCTCAAATATTGTTTTTCATTGTCAGCTTTGATGAGGTCAGAGACAACAAATGATAACTTCTATGTCTAATGGAGAATAGAGACCATTTCAAGTACTTATAACTTATAAAGTAGGCAGCTTAGAAATCTACTGTTTCCAGAATGGTGAAAGAGGATATTTCTGCTTAGCATAATGGAGCATACAGGTTTCAAGCCAGCCTTGTACAGAAGCTAATATAGCATTGCCATCAGTTTTAAGAAGAAGCTTTCATGCTCGTGTCAGTTAATAGACCGAGCTGGAGGAAGCTGGC